GTACGTTCTGCCGGCGTGCTAGGTCTGCCTAACACTTGTAGGGTCGAGAAGAGAGTGGGATGTTGTTGTTGAAGCGAGGCGTTACATCTGGCACAGACAGGGCTGGGCTCAGCTGCCAAACTGCCACAGTTAAAGAGCCTCACCAAAGAAATTTGCATACAAGCCAGTCACGGGCCAAGTAAATACAAACAGCAGCGAGCTTCTGCTGACTGGCAGGAGGGCATACAACTGTCACACTGTGCACCAACCTTGTTGCAGCAGTTAAACCAAGGGTCCAGGGTTCAAGTCTCATTCCTGTACCCTTCGAGTATGTCTAACTTTTGTGTACTGCTCATGGATTATGACCTGATAGATGAGTTCAACAACTTGACAGTGTGATCTGGCAGGTGGAATTATTCTTACAAAGACAGAATTGTTTTCTTTGTGCAAACAAATTTATTTGTAATTTTACTTCCATCTGTAACCTAAAAAAATGAGAACTTAGAAAACCTAAGTATCGCTGAAAAATTATAGATGTAGCAGTAAAGTTGTTATGACAGAAATGCAAGAAAGATCTTTATATTTAGAGCAGTTATGACAAAAATGAAGAATACATGTATGCAGAGAAGAACCTTCTGTCGCTTTCAAAAACATGTTAAATTGTGTGGTACATTTGGCAACAAGTTGAAATATAAGGCCAAAACTTTAAAAGGTCATTCAGGTCATTAGATTTTCCAAATTCTCAGTTTCCTACTGTTGCTCTGATATGTACATCTACACAGTAGATCCCAGTTTACTGATTTCTTTCTTGCCTTCAGGAATATAATCCATCCTGTATCCTTAGCTGTGTTTCTTGATTGAAACTGTCAGAGATAAATGATCTACTTCACAAATAAAATCTCGCCAGCTTCAACTTCAGGCTCCCCCATTTGAATTATTGATTTCTGTATCAAAGCGCATCAAATCAGCTGGTATCTCAATCATAACATAACTTTCCCTGTTTTCTAATAAGGGAGTTTTGTGAGATAATGACAGAGGACTAAGATCCAAGGTCGAGATAAGGCAGTAGTTAAAAAGTAAATCAGTATTTTCACTTGTATGCAAGATTTTAATATACCCTTTAGCAGGTGTAGTACTATAGGGCTACTACAAATGTACCCAAAATTTCAGAGGTTGGCCTAGAATTTTCTAAATCGAGAAGTAAGTCTAGAACCCTGAGGGCATAAGAAAGCAATGATACAGGTTAAAATTAAATTTTCCTTGAGCCTTCTTTTATCTTTTTCGTTGTCTTTGTTCTAAAAATATGTTATAGCAAATTCATGCCCAAAGACTAACTGCAAGTAGGTGATACGGGGAATGACAGAAATTGCAAGCAGTGTATGAAACAAACATAGGAAACAAGTGGTTAACCATACAAAATGTAACTGTCTAAAATTCTTCAGTAGAACTAGAACTGAGTTGTCTGTTTTTAGAGACGAGAGGGCTACAGTCACTTTTGGCAGGTCTGTGTTAAGCTGTGGGACAATGTGTAATTAATATTGGGTTCAAGATATTTGTCGCGTTAACACCCTGGCATCAACAAAGGGTTGAATAGACAGCAACACCTCAGTCTATGCTAAAGGTAATAAATAAAGCTGGGAAAGGGGAGGCCAGTGCTACTAAATAAACTTGTAATCCATATTTCACAACAATGGTAAGACCATACTAATTTGATTCGTTGGCTATCGGATTTTTGTCCGGATTTTGAAACAAAATAAAAATAAAAACAGGCTGTCCTGTTTTTTTGTGTTTTTTTTTTCTTCTTCAAAATTTCCGGAGAAAGTCTTGGTAACTGGTTTATTTAGGACGAAATCCAAAATCTACGCCCAACATTCTCCAAATAAGAAATGGCAAAAATGGATCTCTTCAAAAGTCAAGATATACTGAGCACAGCAGCTCTTTCAAAATAGATCCCCTCCAAGTCATATCATAGTCATATTCACGTTAAAATGGTCAGGCACCCTCTCCTCCATATATTCTGGCTCTCAAATTGCCACTCCTTCCCTACCAATTATTCCTTACTGAGTACCCTAAGTAGTTGTCCGATGGTCTCCAATAGCTGCTGACAGCGCTCGTTTAGGTGCCATTGGCAGACAATTTATTGGCACATGACAGGCATGTGCCAGAAAGAAAATGTCAAAACTACACCATTACACGGATTACCCACATGGTAAAGCTGGTATGAATAACAAGTTCCTGACTGAAAACTCTCGTCTGAATGTAAATGCCAGGCCATCGAAACAACTTCTTTTCTTCAAGTTCAACCCTCAAATAACAAATCAAAATTTCTAACAGGTAGTCATTGTAAGTCATGCTGAAGTAAAGCATCTACTGCTTTTCAAACAGCATGATGCTTTTTCTAGTAGCTATACATGTGCAATGTCGATTCACTATGCCTCTTACAGGTACGAGCTTGAAATAACAAAGTAGTCAAACAGAGATAGTAACTGATTCTGACTGAGCAGCATTGTAGAATAGAAATACACTGTGATTTCTAGAGATTGGGATAAATGGGAGCAAAATTTCTCCCATTGCTGTCATACTGGCATACTGTATGAGTATATAACAACAGAATACTATAGTATACAGGGGTTTTTCTAGAAAAATTTGGCATGAGGGAGCAGTATCATGGCGAGGGAGCGAAGCGACCGAGGGGGGTTGGTGCGGAAGGGGGTCCCCCCTTCCGCCATATGAAGCCTTTGAAAATTTGAAGTTGAAATGGGACATTTTGAGGCTACTTGAGGGGGAAAATTTGAACTTTTAATAACCTCAATACCTTTCCCAAATTTCTATTCATGCATTGCACATTTCCCTTATAAAATATAAGTACAATCAACAGTACACACAATCTGCAAATCACCCTTTATACACTTATACAATTAGTGATCAATGTTACTAGTAGCTCCAGATGACAACATTGGGTTTGCCACAAGCTGAAACCTTTCCCATGGCACAATTGCAACACATTCATCCAAGCTGCTACAAACTCAGGTCATGTTTCACTTCAGAGCCTGTTCTATAGTATGCAAATGAAGGAGGTCTAGCTACATTTCTTTGAGCAAGTTCTCAATGAACATTGTTTATTCCATTCAAAATTTTACTACTAGAGCTAAATTTTCAAGTTTGTGATAAGATTTTGGAATTTTTATGAGAGTAACATAGTTTGTAATGCTAGAATTTATTGTTCTGTGGTGTTGTTTTTGTATTTTTACTGGAAAAAGGTCATTTTGAAAAAGACTTAGACTTCAATCTGAAAATTGATATGAGGGCGCTGGTTTGTTACATGAGGGCGCTGCGCCCTTGTTCCCCTGTTCAGAAAAACCCCTGGTATACAGAAACAGGAAAATTGGTGCCGACTTTGACCACATCTTATGAATGACCAGTAATGTAAATAAACAAGAAAAATACACTGTGATTACCAGAGATTAATTGTAAAATGTCTTCCATTGCTGTCATACTGGCATACTGTATGAATATACAACAGAATACTATAGTCAAACAGAAACAGGAAAATTGGTACTGACTTATATTATGAATGACCAGTAAAAGAGTAATGTAAATAAACAAGAAAAATACACTGTGATTACCAGAGATTGATTGATTGTAAAATTTCTCCCATTGCTGTCATGCTGGCATGATGATAACTTTCTCCTCCCCATCCCAGAGTCATCTCTCTCTGTCAACACAAGATCCCCCCATCCCTCTTCCACCTGATTATTTTGAAACGCAATTCCCGCAATTCCTCTGGTAGGAATACCGCAGATTCCAGAAGAAAAGATGCCAAAATGTGGCCAACACTTCACACCATCCCTGTATCTACTTGTGTACATGCTTTACTTGCTGACCTACACTACAGTGCTATAACGCTCACCGGCATCCCTGTCTCCAGTCACAACAAGCTCTAAAACTCTCTCAATGAGGCTGTTGATTTTACACCGAGTGGGTAAACAAGACTGACCCTAGTGGAAAAAGAGCTGTAGAACTAACCCCGACAATAACTCTGAGAAACTGGCCATATGCAGGGGCCATATGCAGAGAGAATTCCTCATCCCCTTTACAGGATTAATATGAATGGCAAGTGCACATTGAACAACATCCCCCCAGTCTGTCAGGGCCTTGGATGTTATATGCTCAAGCTGGGCTGGGGAGTGTATAGCTCGTGTGCATACCACTGGCTGACCCCTACTCATACAGTGCCCTTTCTCCCCTCCTCACAATCCCAGTCTATTGACTGCTGGGGGATGTTTACCCTCATTTGCAAGTCTAATAAACTAGGCTGGCCCTGCCTGCCTGTACCCCAGGGGAAATGGGGGGAAATCTGAAAAAAGATTGCACTTCAATTACAGAGAATTACCAACAATCCCCCCTCTTGACATCCACACACACTGGGAGAGCAGCGGACGTCCACTGCTTGTGTTACAAACATGCCACAGTGGACACAGTGGCAGGGAAGGTGGCACTAGCAGACGACAGGTCACACTACTCTCATCAGCTGCAGGCAGTCAACTGATGGGCTACATTCAACAACTCACAAACTATCAGCTGGGGCTGTGGGGCTTACCTTCCTAGCTGTAGCGGTGGTGAGTCCACATTTCCGAGTCGGCGGACACACTTTCAGTTACGCTGACGACGGCACCTCTGCTTCCCCTCACCAGCGGATCGGCACCGGGACTGCCAAGTTTGTTGCCTAAAAAACCTGCAAACAAAGGCGGCGAAAATTCAGACACCAAATAGCAGGGTTCACTCCACTGTAGGCAGCACCTCTTGCTCACCCCTCACACATTTGCATACCAATAGCAGCGCTCCCCTTGATTGGACAATATGCTAATTCATTCAAATACTGTACACAAATCATACTCAGACCAAACAAAACCTGGTCCAAACACTGCCGGGCAGGCTGGCACGAGCCTTGCACACTCAACACGTCCCACCCAACAGCACCCGCTACAGTAATCATGCAATACTTTAACAGGATTACGGCTATTTCCCCAGGAGGGGATGGTATGGCAGGCTGGGCCTTTGTGTATGTCTGGCATGATGTATCCCTTACTACATACCAGCCCTGGCTAACTCCTAGGGTTTCACACTAACAAAGGCTCAATCGATCACCACCATTGTCGTACGGAGATATTTCCGCCACAAAAAACCAATAGAGTCGCTGTATGCTAATGAAGGGGCCCCTACCAGCCCTCTATTTGTCTGCACACACGTGGCGACACATGTCAAAGTGTCTTGTGTGTATTCAAATGACCCACACTGATTTAGAGCACTGATTACCATGTAAAAGGGGCTGGGGAGGTAACAGGGCTTCCACAAGCAGAGATAATCGAACTAACCAGGCCACAAAAGCTGGCTCGCAAACTTCTGATCTCCACCCAGGGCCGGAGCTGTGGATTGACCTTCTAAAAGGGCACACACTCTCTGCTCAGCCTTTCCCAGGAGACCTCACAATGACAAGGTATTGTACAGAGGAAAAATATTGTCCACTGCTCCCCTTTGAGAGCTTTTACATGACCTTACATGATAAATGAGACAGTATTGTACTTAAGGACCAGACTGACCAGACAAAGAAGACAACAATAGTGCTGTGATAGGATCTTCGGGGCATTAATAATCCCCGTTGTTCTCGTTATTAAATTGTTTAGATCTTTATTAAGGCACAACAGGACGACTTTCAGCCATGTGATCAGTAAACTTGTTATAACATTGACTTTCAAATTGGGATATAATGGCCTGGGAAATTTGAAAATCAAGTTATCTTCAAGCCTAATTATTGTTTTTCCCTATAAAATTTCACATGTCAACTGTAAGAACAGTAAATTCTATTTCAATATTCACAATTAAGTCATTTCAAATTTATACAAAAAAAAAATTTGTGTCATATTGACAACTTAGTAGAAATCAGGGCTTGAAATACTGGGTGCATGTGCACCTTAGTGCATCCAAATTTGAAACTGTGCACCCAAATTTTTTCTGTGGGTGCACCTGAGTGCACCCAAATATTTCCGTGTTAAATGTATAGTGGTATACAGCATATTCTTAACATCTAAATGTCAGAAAAATAATGAAATCATTGTTGTAGTACTTTTCTTTAGAAATGAGACATTAAGTACTTTTTGCTGACATTCTAACCTATTTTTCTCCTAGTTGATCTTATATGGTGCACCCAAATTTTTTTTGTGCACCCAATTTTTTAGGTGGGTGCACCAGTGTACCTATTCCAAAAAATATATATACATATCATAAATTTCGAGCCCTGGTAGAAATGCTGTAGACATTTGCAGAGAGTATCATTGATAGATGTCAATAACAATAGCATTTTAATTCTCAGTCTTACATTTGTTAAAACTGTCAAGAGGCCAATTATGCCTGGCTAATGACATTCATGTACATATCCTTACAGAGTGCGATGACGCAGGCGCTGGCCACCACAAGTGCTTTTTTTTCATTGAAATCTTCTTTTATCCAAGCCAGAGAAATCCGGCATGAAAACAGCATTGACTCAATCAAAGAGCCTTTTTCTGAACAACTGTGGTCTGTTGACGTAGTCGTCTGCGTAGTTGTGGAGCTCAAGCGGAGTTGATAATTGGTGGACTGCCCGAATCTACGTAATTCATATACAGTGTAGGGATCCTAGCTCCCCTCCCTAATTGATGCTTATTAGATGTACAAAATTGGGACAGATGTGTTACCAGCTTCTCATGAAAACATCACCCCCTAGAACATGTCACTCCATATTGTGTAGCAGGGCTGGAAATACTGGGTGCATGTGCACCTTAGTGCACCCAAATTTGGAGCTGTGCACCCATTTTTTTCTGTGCACCCACAAATTTTCATAGGTTTAACATATGTAAAGGTGTTAAATATATAGTAGTTACAGCATATTCTTAACAACTAAGTGTCACAAAAAAATTATACAATAATTGTTATAGTACTTTCCTTGAAATGAAACATCATCATAGTTTTTTAGACATTCTATTTCATCTTATATGGTACACCTAAAATATTTTTGTGCACCCAATTTTTTAGGTTGGGTGCACCAGTGCACCTATTCCCAAAATGAATTTCGAGCCCTGGGTAGGGTTATTGCTGAGAACTATATGGTACTTTCAGTTCCAGTCAAGCTGATGTGACATGATACTCAACATGTAACTCTTCACTTGCCACTTGCTAATGTAGTGTATTTGTATTGTTGACTGTTGAGTTGGCACAATGAGTTTCTATGATGATGAAATGACAAAAAATGATTGAAAGGTGGATAAACAAAAAAATAAAAAATAAATATTTTTGTAGTTTGCTGTTATTACACTTGTTTCTGCTGGAAATTTAATATATCTCAACAGGAAATAACAATGTATTAAGCATGTTGGCAGAATCTCAAACCCCGTCTCATTAAAGGTCGAATTCGCTTTTTAAAGATTGCATCACATCTATAGTTTATGATTGTTGTTTCCAAAAAGAAATTATCCGCAACGGGCAAAATTCTGATGCAACCAACGTTAACCTAACATCCAACGAGAACAATTAACAATCTCAGGTGGTTTTGCGCAGGTGCAGTATGTTCTGCCAACGTACTATAAGGTCACACCAATTTAATTTCTTGGTTAACGGATTCACCTGTTTCATTTTTTTCTGATTTGCAACAAAAAAATCAGAATCAACTGCAAAATGCTCATATTTTGCCCTGAACTGTTGAAAACAGTCCTTTTATTCCTAGTTGTTACAGTTATTCCATCTTTCAATGCAATGGTATCATTAAAAGTTCAAAATTCATTGTTTAAATTTTGAACCAGTCTGGTGTGTTGACTTCATGGCTCCTATCGTACCATTTTGGGCCATAATAGGATGCCTACGCCAGTTTTTTTTTCGCCCGCCTGCTCCATTATTTTTCTACAGAAATCCGTTAACTAAGAAATTGAATTGGTGTGGCCTAACATTTAATGTTTGGACCTTGAACATGAAACTGTTGTGACTTGCCATAGATTACCCCTTTTTGCTAGGTCAAGGGCAGATGGAGGAGACTGCAACAAAACATTGCCGATTAATCCTGGGCCAAACTGGCAGACCTGTGACATTCATGGGGCCTAAAATCTGCCACCTGCCCTGAGGCAATACAAAAAGGCAGATTATTCACCGGGCTAGAAATACTGGGTGCATGTGCTCCTTAGTGCACCCAAAATTGGAGCTGTGCACCCAATTTTTTTCTGTGGGTGCACTGGTGCTCCCAAATATTTTGTCCGTATTTTTGTACATATTGAATGTATACAGTAATACTGGATATTCTTGGTATCTAAGTGTCATAAACTCTTTGTTGTAGTACTTGACATTTGAAGTTAGCTCCCATTTTAGATTCAAGCTCAGAAAAGGAGCAGTTAAAGATCTGTAATTAGGTTTTGTTTTATATGGTGCACCCAAAAAATTTTGACTATGTGCACCTAAATTTTTAGGTTGGGTGCGCCAGTGCACCTATTCCCAAAAATGAATTTCGAGCCCTGATTCAGACACAAGTTGGTCGGCGCTCTATACACGAATTTTCAACAAAATTAATGCCATAAGCATTTCACTAATTGAATAGTCTGCAGGTAATCTGTAAAAAGAAATAAACACATTAATTCAATTACATTACCTTTCCTTTATACAGATTATCATGATTATTCTTGTTCTTTGTAAGCAGCACATTTATAAATTAAGGGTGTATGAGTCAGTTCAGATATGCCATGTAACATCTGCTTGATATTTGGTGAAGTTTTCATTTTAATTGAAAGTAGGTTAAAAAAAAGATGAGGAAGAAAATAAAACTTTCTGGATATTGTTCTACAGATGTGGTGCAAAACCAGAATAGCATATGGCATGGGTGCTTCAAATATCACATCATAAGAATAAACCAGACAGACAGAATATAATTCAGACTGTCATAGTATTAATAAATCTACAAAATTGTGATTTCATACCAATATACTCTTTTTGTGTTTTTTAGTTATCCCATCCACAAACCAACACCAAATAAAGAAAGAAACAAACAAACTAGCAAGGATTCTTCCCGAGCACATGAACTGCCTATCCCCCAAAATTTGTGACCCTTATATGTCTCAGTCACCAGATATCAAAAGGGTCCACTGCAGCGCCATAACACACTGCCAGGGGGCCCAAAATCTAATCTTTTCAACATCTCATCAAGACCTACACACATACATGTACTAAGTTTCATGACATTTCCATCCATAGCTTCTTGACTTATCATGCCAAGCTACATACATACACACACATACATACACTTCCAAAATTCTGGCAAATTCAAGAAAACTAAAAAACAAGTGCTGGTCAAACCCCATAACCCCCTCAGAGGTTTGCCTTTCAAATTTCAGCATGCTTGTCCCAATCACTGCCCCTCTGACCCCTGCCACCTATCCCCCTGTAATTATTACCACTTGTCGGTGGCCTGATTAGCTCACATTAGTGCTGGCTTGTTACCACTAAATCACTGATCTACCCACTACCATCAGTGACAGGAGGAAGATGTATTTATCAAGTAGACTTACATTGCACATCCCAGGGTTTCATTTGTTGTGCATCCAATCTTGAAGTGGATTATATATTATAAGGCCACATCAATTCAATTATTTGGTTCTCGGATTCACCCTCTTCTTTTTTTCTTGCTTTTCAAAAAAAAAAAAAAAAAATCAGGTTCTGAATCAA